AAAAGCGAAAAACCCGTCCGTTCCCCGGATTGCGATAAGCGGAGAGCAAACAAAGGAACGTCGAGTATTGGTTGAGATGACGTCATTGCAACTCGTCGAAACGGAGGGCGGGGGGCGAGGGAGGGGGAAGGGGGTTTCGCAGGGATGAGGAGCGATACGCTCGGCTTTCCCGGTTTTGGCGCGGCTTCTATTCGCTATTCGCCCTCGCCGGCCCTGATTCGCGATGCTCCGTCGCACATGGGCTGAGTCAGAAGGAGACGTCGGACGATACACTGGAAAAAAAAAAAAAAACACATTGGATCTAGATTCCAGACTCCTGAAAACATTGACAAGAAAAAATACTCTTGATTCAACCAGATTTTTGCTTAAATCAAAAGAAAATCCGATCAAATTAAGAGGCTTGGTTCTTGATTTAAGCAAAAATCTGATTGAATCAAGAGCATTTTTTCTTGTCGATGTTTTTAAGAGTCTGGACTCTAGATCCAATGCGTTTTTTTTTCAGTGTAGCTGGAAAATTTGAAAGCTTATATTTTCAAAAACATGAAACAGAGAAGTTTGAGAGTTGTTTCATTGATTTTCTCCTAAAATTTACTTGCAAAAATACTCTTTGAAACTGATTTTGTGACGAAAGGAACATAAAAATTTGAAATTTTAGCCAAAAATGTTATGTCCGATCTCTTCTATTAGCTCGGTCCACTGTACGGCAGGTCGGCTATCGGATTCTGGAAACTTTGAAAGCTTAAATTTTCGAAAATATGAAAAACACAAGTTTAAGGGTTGTTTCACTGGTTTTTCCGTGAAATTTACTTGCAGAAACGCCGTTTGAAATTGAATTTGGGACGAAATAAACATCAAGATTTGAAATTGTAGCCAAAAATTTCGTGTCCGACCTCTTCAATTAGCTCGTTTCACTGTGCGTCGAGTTGGATCTCGGATCGCTAACCCCCGCGTTGTCTGATCCCAACGTGGTCGCTGTTGAGAGCAGATCTAGCTTCAGTGATGGAGGCGTTGGCTGCAGGAGGGGCATTTCTTGGTTGCGGTGGTTTGGAATCTCCACTGTTAATTTATCCTACAGATATATTCTATATTGCGTAAATTTTCTAAGACTTACGGTTTCAGCATCGTGAAATCATACAGAAAATCCAGTAATAGTTTCAACGGGTTCAATACATTTACTTTAATTATAATGGATTAAAAGTGGAGATTTTGAGAAACCGCAACCAAGAAATGTCCTCCCTGCACCCATCGCTTCGATTTTGGTCTACTGTATGTTTCATTTTCATCAGTGATAAAATTTCATGTAAAATAAAATTGTGAAATTCCAAGAAATCTACATCAAGGAATGTTAGAATGTAAGAAACATTTATTTCAAGATCGTGGATGATTAGCTGACACTAATTATCAAGACACCGCCAGAAATCCAAAAAAGCATCGCTCTGCTCAGGTATAGTACGTTAGGGACTTTTAATGCATATTTTAAAGAATTTTTAACCATGCTCCATCCCTGATTTTCCCTGATTTTTGGGAGTTCATCTTCTGATGAGCAACCGAAGTTTTCTCCCTCTTTCCCGGTATTTGCTTGCGGGGAAAAATGTGTGGTTCGATATTTTGAGAATGAATGTTTTTCAGCCAAACACGAGCGACTCACGCTTTCAAACCGCCTTCATTTTTTGGTACATGCAACACGCACGATTACCGAACACGTGCAGTTGCATCCCGGTCCTAATACTATATCGATGGCCAAAGTGCGAAACCACGTATCTCCATTATTGCAGTGTTTCAAAATTAACGCTCCTATATTATATTTTCGTGGAGGAACAGAATCGCCCTATTTTCCTTCGGGCTTTTATGTCCATGCCTTTGTCTAACGTAATTGCAATAATCATCCTGCAGTTATGTTACAGGGCAGCCATCCTAGATCCGTGCTTTATCCGCACAATAGACTCAAAGAATCTGATTGCTTTAATTAACTAATCCAATGGGCCTGTTGCAAACTTTTGCTAGAGCAAAAATAAGAGTTGTTTCTTGTAGATAATGCCTCAAAAATCACGATGAGCGCATCGGCAAAGTCTGAAATGCACTCATAACTTCACAATCTGCGTAAGAAATTTGCGGTTTTTTGAGCTTCCCGCTTCAAAAACGATACTACGGCGTAGGTGAACATTTTGTTAGAGGAGTCGCTCCATCGTCGGCGATATTCATCATGGCCGACGCTTGCACGCAGTTCCGCGCGTAATTCGAGGAGAGTTCAAGGTCAATCCATTCGGGCGTGGAAAATATGAACGTTAACACACCGATTGTTATCTGGTCTAATCCAGTTCAGGTGTTATCTCGTCCCATCAAACGTGTTTTGGCGGATTGGCGTCGGCCATGATGATTATTGCCGACGATGGAGCGACTCCTCTAACAAAATGTTCACCTGTGCCGTAGTATCGTTTTTGAAGCGGGAAGCTCAAAAAACCGCAAATTTCTTACGCAGATTGTGAAGTTATGAGTGCATTTCAGAGTTTGCCGATGCGCTCATCGTGATTTTTGAGGCATTATCTATAAGAAACAACTCTTAGTTTTGCTCTAGCAAAAGTTTGCAACAGGCCCATTTTCCTCACGAGTGCAGACTCCGCTTAAACTTCTGCCGTACTTAGTAAGAACGCCGTATCAACCTTCAGGCCTTGCCAAATTTCCTTCCATAAAACTCGAATTTCCTGGCAAACTCATGAATAGACTTCTTCCAATTTTCTGAATAATTTTGCTCGCAATTCCACCGAAAAGTCCTGAAAATTTCGAGGGAAAATATACAAGACTTTTCCCGAAATTAACATTTTATCGAGGGGATTTTGGAAGAAGAAGAAGAAGAAGCGGAAGAAGAAGAAGAATAATAATAATTTGGCAACTCCCTAACGTCAGGGTTGCCACAGAATTTAGAAAATGAAATTCCCTGACATTTCCGTGATTTCCCTGACACATTTTGGTGGAATTCCCTGACAATTGAAGATGTGACGGATGGTTAAGAAGGCACAATTGAAACAAGTTTTCAGGCAAAATTTGTTGTTCGAAACCTCAAACCCATTCTAGAAAGAAAATGAAGGCGATTCAACAAATTTTCCCTGACATTTACGTCATTTTGCCTGACATTTCCCGGTTTTCCCTGACTTTTTAAAATTCCCTGACATTTCCCGGTTTTCCGTGACTGTGACAACCCTGTAATTCCACCGAAAAGTCCTGAAAATTTCAAGGGAAAATATTCATGACTTTCCTCGAAGTAAACATTTTATCGAGGGGAATTTGGCAACTCTCGAATGTTCATACGCCGTTCTTCCTTAACACGGCGGAAATAAGCATTGTGACTTCTGAGCTCCCTTACACGGGAAGGATTTCTGCCTCTGCTTTGACCGCAAGTTCGCAGCATCCCCATTCTGCGGAGGGCAGAAACCCATAAAAATACCCATCGCCCAGACCGGACATTTCTCGCGGGCCGGGAGGTTGTGCGATAGGGGGGCGGGGAGGGAGGATTCCTTTCGGCCGTTATGTGACCGCCGTTAGCCGGAAGTCGGGGGAAAATTGAGTGCGAAGTTTTGTAGAGGGTCCCCACGCGGCATCTGCAACTTTTTACTCCCGAGTTCCCCGCATCGTGACGTCAACGAAAATTCTTCCGCGACGTTGGCGACGATGCCAGATCAATCACAAAAATGGACCAATTGACAAGACACGAATTTGAGCATTCTGATACATGTTTTTTAGCCAGAATTTTACGTACAACATGATCCTTGCATTGAAAGTAAGTGAAATCAACTCCTAATTAAGATATTAACCTTTTAGTTTCACATTGATCACGGGAATTTTACAAGAAACACAAGACTCCACGCGATTCAAATCGCTCATTACAACGGTTTCGGCAGGCTTTTCAATCAAACATTGTTCATTTGACACCCTTTATTGTTCAAAGTGTAAAAAAATTGCTATAGCTGAGCCAAAGCTTCAAGATTGAGATGCCATATTTTTGCATCGTGGAGACTGCCACGGTAATGTTAGTTCGCGACCAGGCGTGCGTAGACCGGTGTGTTTTCATGAGCGAGAGGTTTGAATTCATGCGTCGAGAAACATTAAAATATCTTTGTTAGGAATGGATTTCAGTAATTTTCGTTGCACGTCTCGTGTTCTACGTGAAATTTTGGCGAGGAAACATGTATCAGAATACTTGACTTCGTACCTTATCTAGTGGTATATTAGGAAAGAGCCCTTGCTCGACACATGAACTTGCGATTATTCAGTACTTGTACTCAGGCATCACATTCTGCCGTGCTAAGGAAGAACGCCAAGCCTTCAGACGCTGCCGAATTTCTTTCGAGAAAAATCGAATTTACTGGGAAAATTGTAAATATTTTCCCCAAACATTTTCAGACCATTTCGTACTCAATTCAATCTAAAATATCAGAAAATCTCAAGGCAAAGTGCTTAAATTGCGTCAAAAACACATATTTTGTCAAGGGAAATTTTGCACACTGGAAGAAAAAAACACATTGGATCTAGAGTCCAGACTCTTAAAAACATCGACAAGAAAAAATACTCTTGATTCAGTCGGATTTTTGCTTGAATCAAGAACCAAGCCTCTGAATTTGAGCGGATTACCTTTTGATTTAAGCAAAAATCTGATTGAATCAGGAGCATTTTTTCTTGTCAATGTTTTCAAGAGTTTGGACTCTAGATCCAATGTGTTTTTTTTTTCCAGTGTGTCGAATTTCTTTCGAGAAAAATCGAATTTACTGGGAAAATTGTAAACATTCTCCCGCAACATTTGCTGACAATTTCGTGCCAAATTTCATATAAAATATCTGAAAATCTCAAGGAAAAGTGCTTAAAATGCGTCAAAAGTACATGTTTTGTCAAGGGAAATTTTGCAACTCTCGATTGTTCATACGGTGTTCTTCCTTAGCACGGCAGCATTGATCAGCTACAATCTTAGCTCCGGATCTCAATTAAAATCGAAGGAAGGGGGTTGTTACCTGAGGCACTGGCTGGTGGTGGAGCGGGTTGCGTCTTCTGAGGCCGCGGGGGCGCAGGGTGATGTTCGATGGTGGTGGAAGACTTCTCGGCCGGCCGAGACTCATCTCCCACCCCCTCCTTCTCCGCCACGTGGTACTGCGCCGAGCTGCAACAAAAAATACAAAAAGTCCTCAGTAAATATTACTAACAGTTTCTACAAATGGTTCACTAATGTGCGAAAACGCGGTGTCTAATTTTTTTTTAATTTTTGGAAATCCTGATAAAGTCCTGATTTTTGCCTGCTGAATCCTGATGTCATAATTTTTCCAAATCCTGATTTTTTGCGGAAACAATGGGCCTGTTGCAAACTTTTGCTAGAGCAAAAATAAGAGTTGTTTCTTATAGATAATGCCTCAAAAATCACGATGAGCGCATCGGCAAAGTCTGAAATGCACTCATAACTTCACAGTCTGCGTAAGAAATTTGCGGTTTTTTGAGCTTCCCGCTTCAAAAGCGATACTACGGCACAGGTGAACATTTTGTAAGAGGAGTCGTTCCATCGTCGGCAATAATCATCATGGCCGACGCCAATCCGCCAAAACACGTGTGATGGCCTGATGGGACGAGATAATACCTGAACTGGATTAGACCAGATAACAATCGGCGTGTTTTAACGTTCATGTTTTCCACGTCGCATTGATTGACCTTGAACTCTCCTCGAATTACGCGCAAAACTGCGCGCAAGTGTCGGCCATGATGAATATCGCCGACGATGGAGCGACTCCTCTAACAAAATGTTCACCTGTGCCGTAGTATCGTTTTTGAAGCGGGAAGCTTAAAAAAACGCAAATTTCTTACGCAGATTGTAAAGTTATGAGTGCATTTCAGACTTTGCCGATGCGCTCATCGTGACTTCTGAGGCATTATCTATAAGAAACAATTCTTATTTTTGCTCTAGCAAAAGTTTGCAACAGGCCCATTAGGCGAATATAACTTCACAAAAATAGCTCGATAAAAAAATTTGATCGGACAGCCGATTTTTCTCAAATCCTGATTTTACGACCGATTTTTTTCTCAAATCCTGATGAAATCGGAATTAAATCATGATTGATCTCAAATCCTGATAGAATCGGGAAAATCCTGATGCTAGGCACCCTGGACAATATACTTCATAAATGTTCGGAAAGGGGAGGATTTCTGCACGGCAATTCATAATGCAAAAATTTTAATTCTGGTGTAAGCGGTGAAGTATCGCGCGAAACTGAAGGCGTTTTCGACTGGCGACAACAGTTTGCCGTAGCTCACAAACAATGCGTGCGAATTGAAGGAATCAGTGGCGAGGCGTGCATGATCAATTACCTGTCTATAATTCCCATTTAAGCTGTGGTAAAGAATCAATTATTAAGGTGTTCGTTGCAAACATTCTGTTTATCGATCATTTTTCATAGGTCTAATGGCAGATCAATCGATGCATCGCAAAGCACTTCACACCACTTAAAGGGGTCAAGTAAACTCTTATACTTCCCGATTACTTTGAAAACGAGTCAAGAACCACCAAGATACGATACTATTGAAGAGACGTTTGCAAATAATACCAGGTTTTTCCGATTAAATGCGAGACAATATACTTCATGAATAATTGAAAAGCACCGAAAAAAAAATTTAACATTCTGGATGTAAAAAAAGTGTGCGAGAACTGACAGAATGCTAAATTACCCGCTACGGCAGTTAGTTTTGCATCTTGACATTGCTAAAGTAACTGCTGTAGTGGTTAATTCAGCATTTTGTAAGTTCTGGCACACTTTTTTTACAACCAGAATGCAAAATCAACTTCACTTTTTTTTCAGTGACGAAATTTCACGAGGAAACCAATTAAATCACTTCTAGAACCTCAACGTTTGTTAAAACGGAGTTATGAGCGTTTAAAGTTTCCACATTTTGTCCGACCTCTCCTAAGGACTCGATCCGCGCGGCATCGCAAAAACTATCCGCAGAGATAAGTCTGGGAGCGTGTAGGACTTTTTGCATCGCGGAGCGGGAACGGCGCTGAGATAGCGCGGCGGGAAGCAGTGGAATTTTAGCCCGTGAGGTTGGCAGCGACAGCGGCGGCGGGCGGCGGTTGACGTTGACGTCACTGGCGGCGAGTGATGACGCAAATCGGCCGCCCGCCGCGCAACGCCGCCACCCCCTCCAGGGTTCACGCCCTTGTGAGTTTACTACATGGTACTCGCGGTGCCCTAATTATTGCACCCCCGCCGCCGCCCCGCGCCCCCGGCCCCGGCGCAACCCCCCGCGACCACTTCCACGCACTCCAGCCCAACTTGGAGCCCCCTCCGAGGCCGGCTTCTCCGTAGCGAGGGCTTTTTTAGCCCCCGACGCACGACGCACAGAGAGGTAGGACATGACATTTCTGGCTAAAATTTCAAATTTTGATGTTTATCTCGTCACGAATTCCATTTTAAAGGATGTTTCTGCAAGTAAATTTTACGGAGAACACAATGAATCAACTCTAAAACTTCTTTGTTTCCTATTTTTACAATTTTCAAATTGTTAGTTAAAATTTCAAATTTTGATGATTATTTCGTCACAAGTTCAATTTCAAAGGGCGTTTCTGCAAGTAAACACGGAAAAGCCAATGGAACAAATCTTGAACCACTTTGTTTCCTATTTTTACAATATTCAAATTTTTGTTAAAATTTAAAATTTTGTTGTTCCTTTCCTCACAAATTCAATTTCAAAGAGTGTTTCTGCGAGTAAATACCACGAAAAAACCAATGAAACGAATCTCATGAACAAAAATCGAGAATCAAACTTTCAAATCTACCGAGTTCATCAGAAAAGAACCAACGGCCAGATTAAGTTGAAGCTAAGTGAATTTTATTTAGAGGTTCGGCAATATTAAACGCCATAACTCCTAAATACGTGTATAAAGCGTACGGCCACTTTTGACTTATTGTGCCGGCTCTCAGATGCTTGTAGGGTCAAAATTCGATGAACAAAGTTTCAATAGGGTTTAACTGGATATTTCATGCCTTTTATGGTTCCGTGCGTCTAATTTTTCAGTGCCTTTGATTTTTTTCCAAGCCGATTGTGGAAGTTCCGCACTGTGCGACGGCTACAGCCTCGAGGAGAAAGGGGTGAGTCGTGTTTCGAGGGTGCATGTCGCAGCCGTAAACGCGACTCAAGTGGATCCTCAGACTTAGCGCGGTCCATTTTGGGTATTTACGGAATCGCTGGAAAGAGGGGGTTTTCCTAACTCGGACTGAGTTGGGCAGATCGGGATCACGTCAGTTTTCACGAGAAAATTGAGTTCAGTGATTTTAGGCCGGAACACGCATTGCATCCAAAAAAAGGCAGAGGACTCAATGGACCACTAGACAAGGTACTAATTTAAGTATTCTGATACACGTTTCTTAACCAAACGTTAACGTAGAACACAATTCTTGCATTGAAAATTACTGAAATCAACTCCTAACTAAGATATCAACGTTTTTATTTCACATTGGTTACGAGTAATGAGTCAAATCGAGTACTACAACGGTTTCAACAAGCTTCTCAAACGAGCAATGTTCATTTCCCAACGTGTGTTGTTAAAACTATAAGCAATTTGCTACAGCTGAGCCAAAGCGTCAAGATTGAGGTTGCCAGATTTTTTTATCGCAGAGACGTTCATGATAACGTTTAGCGCGCGATGTGAATCACGTAGAGCATGAGCCATCCCATGAGCGGGTGGTTTCAATTCACGCACCAAGAATCATTATATATCTTCAGAAGGAGGTGATTTCGGTCATTTTCGTTGTGCGCATCGTGTTTTACGTGGATTTTGGTGAAAAAACATGTATCAGAGGCTGAAATTCGTACCTGGTCTAGAGGTTCATTACAGTGTTGTAAAATCGTGCATATCCATGTTTATCTAGAAAAGACGCAGGGAAACAAGCTGTCGACGACAGCTATTCATTCCAACGATCAGCAAGGGGGCTGATTTAAGGAGTATGGAGCGATCTCAATCGTTGCAAAGGTTGGTCCTTATAGACCAAGGGAAAAAATTATGGACTGACTTTAGGGTCTCTCACGGGTTGCCGTTAGTTAGTCTAATATCTAAGTTTTCTATCCATTGCAACCACCTGCTTCCACCAATAGGATCCCTCCATATCCCTTTTGTCTCCTTCAGCTATAGCTTTGTCTATCAATTTCAACAATCAGCCCGCAGTTATTCCTATCTATAATATAAGCTCCGAAGCCTCCTAATTTTGCATGTCTGGTAACGCTCAGTTCCAGCGTTCTACTGGGCCGATTTCCATGATTTTTGCGGCTATCGACGGGCAATGGTCGCTAAATGAGCACGCTCTGTTCCCGGCCGGAGGGAGATTGGACAAATGAGAGTCGAGTATGAAAATCTTTTCATTTTTTGGTCATTCTTTTGTCAAAGCGGGCCTAATGGAGCGCGAAGCGTCCTCTGGGGGTTGAGCCGCGTAGCGACCAGGGGGCATACCCCTAGTATCAACCATCCTTATAAATCTAATCTGCATAAATTAATTTTTTCCCTGCGTCGATTCGGCGACACTGGGAGCGGCGCTTAGGACTGGCGCTGCACTTAGTCTAGCGAGACGGCAGGGGCAGTAAATCGGTCAAGTCGTATCTCTGACCCGTTTAAAATCGTAATTATTCTCCTTCTGCTCTTGTGAGCCCGATCGATTTTAGTGCGCCTTCCTTAACGACTCCGGTCTCCAACTTAAAGGGCGTTACGAGACGTCTCGTCCTCGTCGAGTTCCTCTTCGTGCGGTGGTTGTTCCTATCGTGCTCTCGAGGTCTCCCGCTCGATTTCGCAGTCGAAAGGGGATTTTCAGGGTATTTACAAAAAAAAAAAAAAAAAAAAAAAAAAAAAATAAAAAAAAAATAAAAAAAAAAATTAAAAAAAAAATTAGGAAATGGATGTATATTTTTGAAACTTAGTTATCTTGAGAAAATTCATTTGTTCTGTTATCATAATGACAGTGATTAAGATTATTATTAGATTAATTAAATATGAAATCAATGGACTACTGGACAAGGTACGAATTTCAGCATTTTGATACATGTTTCTTCACCAAAATTTCATGTAAAACACGATGCGCACAACGGAAATTACCGAAATCACCTCCTTGCGGCGATATTTAATGGTTCTTG